AGCAGAGTGTGCTCATGCAGGGAAGAAGTGGCCTCTTGAGGCCAAATCTTGCTGTACCAGACACATGGAGAACCTCAAAAAATGGTAATAATAAGACAGTTTGTGGCTACCTTACATGTTTCTCCTGTTCTCCACTGAGCTGGGATACTTCCCCTTAAAGGGGAAGCAGTGGTGATGCTATGAATATAGACCCCTTGTGGTTAGCCCTGGTTGCCTAAAGTACCCTAAAACCTATTCCACAGGAAACAATATCAGTCCTAACATAACAATCAAGAAGGAAATCCAAGAAGGAGCCCTCAAAGACAGCTTTTGTGCATAAAATTAGCTAGTAGCATTAAACACTTCTAGTATTCTCCAAGCCATAAGATCTCTTTGTTACTGAGTAGCAGTTTCAGAGCATGTAACACTCTTTTCTTAATAGATCATTAGTAATCATTTCAAAACCTGACAGAAGGGTTATCTGTGATATCAATGTTAATGACACACAGTTATGTCACCATTTCAAACTACAGGAAGATGTTTTTTTCCTTAAGTTACTTATTTATATATGATAGACTATATAAATATCCTACTTGACAAAATCAATGACAATTCAGAAAACATTATGCTATTGATAGCATTTGTGAATTACTTTTCCTGCACTATTAATGTTAGTTTCGTATCAGTATTTATTTAATGTTTTTACCTGCTTGGTGGAGAGGACAGTGACCTCTGTAGATTTACACCTGAGTTCATGTCATGATAATATGACTGGCTCGGAAGCTCTCCAATTGGGAAGTTCATACCAGTTCCCTGGGTTATAGGTGCTGAAAGAAGAGTCAAAGATAATCTCTAATCTTTTTACCATCTTTTCATTTTTAGCAGTGGAAAAAAACATCATGATGTTACTATATGTATCTAATTTTCTGCCTCCTGCAGAAACCAAGTTCTATCAGTGTTTACATATCTTAAAAATGAACTTGCCCCCCCCATCCCTAGAAACCCCTTAATAGTTATGCAGACAACATACATATCTATTGTCTCAATAATTGTCTCAGTATGAAGAAGTGACAAAAAAAATGATAAAAAGGTAAGCCTTCTGTAAAAGGACATTTACAAAATGAGGCAAGGTTTATAGGGAGAGCTAATGTCCTTTATCAGAGCAATTGATATAACTGGAAACAACAAATTTGGAGACACAGAAACTCTTATTCAGGGCTGCATTAGTGTTTACTTATTCATATTAAAAGTGGCCTTCTGCACTGAGACCATGTTGTAGTGCTTCCTTTTACTTTCACCCAATGGCAGAGATACTGCTTTGTTTATGTACACCTACACACAAACACACATACACACAGCATTATCTTCACTTCCTTACAGAGGTGCTGTGTATTTTAGCATTTCAAGAATAAATTATATGTTGTGGTATATTTACCTTTGTTCACTCTGTACATTGTGCATTTTAACTACCTTTGGCACTTAAAAGAACAATTGCATGTTGTGTAACATATCTGAAAGTTTGTGTTTTTCCTGACAGAGAAAACACAGCTCTATTGTGGCCCGAGGTTAAAAAAATGCATGGTTAAGAAATCCCACAGAAGCCACATGCTTTAAAGTTTATTATTAGAAGTATATTATGTGTAACAGTCAGCAGCAGAAGATATGATTTTATAAGGTACTCTACAATATTGATTCTTTTTTAAATGGCCAAATACTTTAAAAAGTATTTAAACACCTGTCAACTACAAGTAAACCTGAATTTCACATATGCAAATCCTCAACTTCCTCAAAATGGCAAAACTACGTGTGTGTACGCAAACACACACACACACACACAAAACATTGTATCTTAACACTGCAGGACCATGATGTTCAGTATTTTGCTGAAGCAAAAAAAAAATTATTATTTTAATTGTTAAATGTTAATTCTTGAGCACAGTGAATGAAATGAGATTTATACCTTAAGCCATGCTAAGTTAATAAAACTACTTAAGCATCCTGTCCTGGTATGAATTAGCTCCCATGTAAGATCTAGGACAGATATATTTGGAGAGTTCTGTCTCATTTTTGCTCTTGCCCTCATCCAATCATGAAAGAGATTTTCCTGTACCATTCCATTGTCATAATCTTGACAATATATTATGTCATAACTGCAAACCCTTCTACATATCACTTTGAAATGTTTTTGTTTGCTTCTTAATGAAATCTTAAGCAAAATACATTAATAGCATTTGTACTAAAGGGGGGAAGTGCTGAAAAAGCAATGACAACTGAAAATATGCATTGTTTTTATGCCATAGCATTACTGTAAATTCTTAGATGTCAAAAAAACAGATTTTCCCATCTATATTCATTTTATATGCTATTGTCTACAACAAAAAATTTACCTGAGCATTGATATTTATAAATGATGCTATCTTTTGTGTCTTTGTGTGCGCTGATGTTCATATTCTTTCCAATCCCAAAACAAACTACTGTAATTAAAAACTCAATTATTACAGCAAGTGCTCTAAATAGGAGAAATAGATTAGCCTATAATACATTAGTCATCCTCCCTATCCTTGCTATGATGTAATTTTCCTTTAAGAGCTATGAATTAGAAAGTAAACTAAGAGAAAAGAATAATCAGATGGTTTGCAGAATTCAAGGATGTGCAGAATAACCTGAAAAAGTTGAAATCCCAACAAATAAAATTACCGTAGGTAATGAAAACTATTATTGACATATAAGTCCATGAAGCTGTGCATGAGAACATGCAACAAATTCATTCAATCTTTAGATAAGAGACTTCATTCCATATTTGAAGAGACAAATAAAGCCTTCTATCTGTTATAAATGCATGCAAGATAAAGTATAATATTGTGCTCAAAGTTATCAGAATTCTGCATAACAATAAGCATTTTCTACCCATCTTCAGGCCCAAAGCAAACTCCATTCAAGTTAATAGAAAACCTTCACTTTATTTTAGTAGTCTTTGGATACAGCTCTTAGCATGTGTTAAATCATTAAATGTAATTGTTAACTTACTTCTGGATACCCTCACAAGTTCTGACACGTTGAACACTCCAGATTTTACAAAACTATCTTCAAGATACACTGGAAAAGATCACAATACCATAATCACTATAACTAGAAAATAAATAAATGTACAGAAATATATGCAGCATCTAACAACAGTATAAACATAGAAAGTTCAAAAATTAGACCAAAGTACACCAAAAGCAGATCACAGGATGAAATGAGAGCTGAAATTCAGAGAGAGATGTAAAAGAACTTGAGGATCTGTAGGAAAAAAAGTTTCCTTAATATGTCCACGAAAATTAACAAGCAGTATAATGAGTTCCTGGTTAGCCATCCAAAAACAGTATAAAATTCAGTTCCTTTATTTTCCTTTTCAATTTTTATGTCAGTATTAAACTAAGAACACTATCAACTGGAGAAAGCAATTTCATTATAGGATCGTCAGTAATCCATTTCTGCTGAACAGCTTTTTGGCTTAACTCTTGTCCTGTTTGTTGTGACCTCACATTATCTCCTTAGACACCAAACCTTCACCTCTGAGGCTGATGAGCATTTTAGTGTTGATGCCAATGAAAGCAGGGACTGGGCAATATAGCTGTTCACTATTCAATGTTTTTTTTTTTTACTTACATGCTGAAATATATATATTTAGTAATTTACAATTAGGCAACCAGGTTTTACTAGTTAATGGTTTTACTATTCTGGTATCTGTTTACGTATTCTGAGATAAGCAGATGTGATTTACTTTTCCCTGTCACAGAAATTCAGACACGCTTTGGAGTAGTGCAGTGAAGTAACAACATATATTGATCAATTTCATTATTGGCTATCCCAGTAATGTAGCTAAATACCATTTATAAAGACAATTGAGAAATCAAGGCTTCTATGGAAGTCTCCTATCTGTAATTATTATATAAACTGATTTGGCTAAATTTGAGATTACATGACATGATAGTCTTTATAAGTATGAATGCAGTACATTTATCTTTAGAATTATTGGGATCTATATGTTGTACACATCACTGCTCCACTAGTATTACTGTGAATTTGCTTTTACAAAGAGGATATGCATGTATGCTATGCATATGTGACAGCACACTAAGCATTGCTTACTGTGGTTTGTATAAAGTAAAATACAGTCTCCTTTCACATTTAACAGTTATTTTTTGCTTTAGAAATTATCAAACTTATATTCCAAATGTTTGAATGAGTAATACTAGCATCATAAATACACAAATAAAAATGTAAATGCACCTACTGGAATATTTGTCAATATGGAAATGATGATGTCCTGACCCTTTTCTCTTAAAATATCTTTTAGCAACTATTGTTTTATCTTCAAATAATTTAGCAGAATAGTGTCACTATAATCAGAGAAGTGACTATAAGAATAGTGTGTTTCACTTAAGAGGTCTGTCCTCAGGTATCTTTGGAGAAATCTATGCTTACTTTTCTGGAGCAAGCAGGGAGAGGAGAGGGAGAAGGGAGTTTGTGCTGCTTTTCAGTCTTATTAGTCCTGCAGAGCTGAGTGACCCAGAATCTCTAATGGTATTTACTAGCATATGTATAAACAGTACATCTGATGATGCAAGCTGAAAAACGTGAACATATTCGACAGTGCAAACTTGGCAGCCTTCTATCTGTTATGCTATTTGTTATACCTATAAGCCAATGTGAAGAAGAACAGAAGACACACTTAAAAAGAAAACAATTTCATGTTGTTGAAGGCCACAGGACCAATTATAAATCAACCTTCCAGAGCTGAAAAGCCACTAAATTAGTAAGTGGAACTGCAGTAGACATATAAAGTGACATAAACCTATGGAGTCTATGGAATTATTTTGAATGATGCTTTGACAATGCCACGATGTTTCCATCTTCAAGTTGATGTCATATGATATCACTGTATATTTTTATTAGTAGCTTTGTAAGGCTTCCCCTCTCTCTCATCTATTTCTTTTCATGTCCACCCCTTTCTAACAGCTTCTCTAATGTTCTTCCACTTTTTCCTCTCAAGTTCTCCTTCACCTGGATGTTGCAGGGATCTCTGCCATCTTCATCTCCAAGATGACATAGTTTGAGATTACTCAAACTATCACTGTAGTGAAAACAAACCCCAAGGCTCATTTTATTTAGAGAAAAAAAATCCTATAGGGAGTTTTCTATATATAATATCTTGGGCCTTCTCATGAATTTTTAGTTTTCCACATTGGCAATACTGAGGATACCCACATAACGTAAAGGGCAATAGCAAAGTTTCCTCCTTGCGATAGCAAAACAGCAGCAGGTTTTGCCACTGTGTGGTACCACTATTTACACACACACATGCACACACACACACGACAAAACCGGCCATACATTGCAGACTGATGAATCACTATCTTTCACCCTGCAGGTTTCACCCCTGCTGTGGATGAGCTACAAATAATCATAACCATAGATATATGCAAAGGCTTTGCCTGGCATTAGGAAAGAACAGGAAAACATGCAGATCTTAACAACAACAAGCCTGATTTTTCTTTATCTAATGTGACAAAACATTCTAAAAGATATGGAGCAACCATAAACACTTTATTTTACAGGCATTGAGCTACTTCATTCTGAGCCTTATGGTAGATTCCAATTATGTCTTTGAGTAGGAAAACAAACACAGTATGTTTAGTTTCAGCACCAGTACAGTTCATCAGTTTTAATTAGCTAAGAAGTCAAACTGTGGTGGATATGGTATAGAACAGTTCTTGACTTCTAGCTGTGCAACAGAAAAAGTGTTCTGTTATTAAATCACTGTAATTTGTTGCAGAAACAGGCACTGTAAATATGATAAAAGATAAATGGTAAGATTCTGTACATAGCAATTGAGCACCAAAGATTCAAGATACCACCTTTCACCTTGGGAAGCTGATCTCCCTACTGAACAGGGCTTAACATTCATATTCACATTATTATACTGCATGCAAGAAAAAGATATACAGCAATACTCTGTATAGCATAGAGTTTTTTTGTTCTGGGAACTTTTTTGGATCAAGTATTCCCTAATGCACTGCCTGCATTAACATGTTAAAGAAAATTGAAATTGAAATTCTTGATATGTGTTTCTAAACTGTTTGGTACAGAAATTAAAGCATTTGATAAGACTGTTGTAATGCTGCTTCATTCTTCTTAAAGAATTTACTATATCTTTTGGTGGTCATGATAACACATTGCTGTCTTTGCTGTTTAAACCTAATATAACCACAAAGCATTGCCATTTACTAAACTCATCTTGTCTGAGAGATGACACTCCGAAATGCATTTCTTTAATTATCAATCTTTTTTTTTTAAATCTGAATCCTATGAAAAGAATTTGCCTGCCAAAAGCTGCATAGTGCAATTTCATAAAATCAACTGATCACTTCCCAAACCCATAAACTAACATTAGATTTTTCCTCCCATTTTTTTTTTTTAAAGCATAAAAGACATTCCTAAAAAATACATTTTCCTAACAATACCACAAAGATCAGACTGGTGTCATTAACGATAATAGGCAAAGAGGTCAAGAGCTGAGCAGCAGTTCTGAACAAGCCACTCTAAAATTCCTTTAAACAAGAGGAACCTGAGATAATTTCCAGTTCTTATACTTCTTCCTCCCTATGCCTGTGCTATGCATCCAAGTGCTGAGTTATGATTATTGGTTTTAAGCATTTTAGGATTTAAAAATGTAAAAAGTCCAAAACTAATGAAAAATATTTTAAATTCACACTAACTGTACTGTACAGGCCTTGTTCTCAAATTATGTTAAAGCTTACCAGTTACATCTGGCTTTACAAATATTTAACCAGCCTTTTTTGTGTCTTCTGTTTTAATTGCTCTTTTATGAATGCCCATTTATGTTCTGCTGTATACTGTCTATAGCCAAAACATGAAATTGCTTTCTGGTACCATTAAATATCTTATTTTTTTCACTGGTATGGCATTGATTTTGAACATCTTATAAAGTAGGAGTAGGGATTCAATCAAAGTAGGAAATATTTAGCTTCATTGTATTTTTATTTTTGGATTTTTAAAAAGAGGAATTATAAATGAGTAGGTAGACTTCCTAGCAGTGAGATACATTCAACTGCAGTGGCTACTCTGAAGAGAAGGGATGGAAGCCTGAGCCTTGTATCCAGCACTTTACATCACCTAACTTAAAGCCTAACCTAGTGTGTTACGTGCTGAATGCTACTATAGGTTTGCTTGACCTCTGAAACAGCTATGATTAAAAATAAATAATTTGATTTTATTGCTCCTTTCATCAGAGCGTCTGAAAACTGACATTTTAAGGACCAGCTCCTACTTGCCACAGTAGCAAACTTCAACAGGGAGCTCTTTAATTTCAGTAGGAATACTAATAGCATAAAGCTACTACTCAGTAGGGCTAGTGCAAAATTAGTCTCACAAACCTATATAAATAAGGTTACTATAAAGTCTAGAAAACTTCTGACTCTTTCTTATTGGATGTGTTTTGGAAGCCAATCTTTAACAGAGTAACGAAAATGTGTTCCCATGGAACCAAAATTTCTCCAAAGGGAACTAAAGGTGGAAAACATGAGCCAAGAAACAATGCAGAAGATTTTAGCAGTGATGTCAGTTGTAACAGTTGAACTAAGGCTCTAGCCAACTTAAAAACATCACAGAATGAGGTGGGTTTGGTTACCACATGATTGTCTCTGGCTTTATTGTATGACCATAGTTAAGTTTTTCCTACAAATTACAATGATGAAACTGGGACAAGGAATAAACAAGTTGCAAGGCCCTTGACTAAACTGGATTTTTAGCATAGTAAAGGCCTAAGAAGCTGTCGGTCAAAATCTAAAATTAATTAGATAATATAAATAATATTCAAAATCTTAACTAAAACAACAATACTCTAGAATGCTGTAGCAATTTCAAGAGGGAAAAGCTCAATTTAATTGAACATGGAACACTACAATCCATTAAATGAATTGCCCAGAAGCCTACCAAAAAATTTAAAGGGGAACTAACATGAGTACACAGCACCTTCCACCCAAAACCATGAAATGCTTTACAAGCTACAGTTAAAATTTTAAAAAGAGATCAGAGAAACTGTTTTCTATCATTTCAGGAATTATCTGGTACCCAAACAGGATTTAGGAATTCTAACTTCTAACACAACCAGTATTTAGTAAGTTCTTGGTTGTGTATGCTTCTGACTAGAAATTATTGTGCTCACTATTGAATATGACCATATCTGAAGTGAAAAACGGCATCATTTTAAAAAGCACATCATCATACACCAGCTTAGTAAAAGAATAGCTCACCCAAATGAAAATACAGAGGTAATTTTAAATAAGCAAACTGCAGAAATCACCCAAACCAAAATTCAAACAGGATGCAAGGTGATTCTTGAAAAAAGGCCTGTGGAATCTGTGAAGATTTCCAATTGTTGAGATAACACAGCTGCACATTGCCCCCCAGAACACCTTGATTGGCTCAGAGCTGAGACACTGATGAGGGAAAGTATCACCTCTCAATCACTATCATTACTAAATCTTGGAGCATTTGGGAAAGGGAGAACTCTAAAGAAAATCAATCCCTGACCAAGCCCAACCCAGTTTTATTTGGAGATTGCTATCTGAGATGCTATGGCTGCAGGCATACAGGAAACAGCAAGCATTTCAGAATGTCTACCTCCATGTTGTTAAAGTAAGGCTCTAAGTGTATGTTTGTTTAAATACAATTCTGTTGGAATCCCCAAACTGCTACTATGGCATCATTGCTTCCACAAGAAAAGCTGCTTATAATGATGAGGCCACAGAGTTTCTCTTCTACTCCTATTAATTAGGGGCCCAACTCCCCATTCACAAGAGGATAACTTGCAATATGGTAAAATAATGAAACCATCTGTGCTCTGAGTCACACAAAACTCAAATACATTTGCTTATAGCATTTCCAAAAGAGTACAAAGGTTGAGACTATGTTACTTTTAAGAGATTATTTCTGAAATTGTATATTTGGGAGGAATACAGGGACGTTGTCAGAGTGTGCAGGGATGCGACAAGGAAGGCTAAGGCCCAGTTGGAATTAAATCTGGCAACGGATGTCAAGGACAACAAGAAGGGCTTCTTCAAATACATCAATAGCAAAAGGAAGACTAGGGAAAACGTGGGCCTGCTGCTGAATGGGGCGGGTGCCCTGGTGACAAAGGATACAGAGAAGGCAGAGTTATTGAATGCTGCCTTTGTTTCAGTCTTCACTGCTAAGGCCAGTCCTGAGGAATTCCAGACCTTGGAGACAAGAGAGGAAGTCTGGAGAAAGGAAGACTCTCCCTTGGTTGAGGAGGATCAGGTTAGAGATCTTTTGTCCAAACTTGACATCCATAAATCCATGG